AGACCTAAATAGAAAGATAATGAGGATAGAATTAAGAAAGGGGCATTGAATAAGTAGTTTGCTCATCTAAGACACTTTGTACTAATTCTATTAGTGAATTTTCTTTCTTAGGTATGGATGCCCTTCAGATATAGATGTGGTTTGCAATGAATTGGGTTACCAATTCACTTGTGTTCTTTATTTTATTGTTTTCTCTTTAATTATGTGTTGTTGTCATATTGTTTAAAACATGATTTAACAAGTTGGATAAATTATCTCAGACATTTGGTCCAACATTTATCCTCTGAAAAACAGAATTTCATTATTCGACGAATTATCTATAAACACAATCCATTTGAGAAAGACTTGTTTGATTTTGAGTGTCATCTCGACTATGAAGTCTACTAGTGTTTGAGCTTTCAAATTTTTATGACCTTAAAATTTGATATCGAAATTAGATAACTCCAGTAAATATTTTTTCATTCTCCTCGTGACTTCAAATCAAAAAAGTTAGTGAATTTTCGTTAAATTCTAAAATGTTTATCTAAATGATTTTTTTTTTAAATTTAATTCATATCATAATTATAATTTTAAAATATTAAAAATAAATTAAAATATTCAAAAGTTAATATATTGTAAACAAAATTTATGATAATTTATAGTCTTATATTTTTACATCATTTTATATTTACCAACCACTTCAATAGTAGATTTTACCAAATATTATTATCTCAATCGATTGATTTTACCAAAAATTATAATTTCAATCCGATAATTTTTTAACTATAAATTTTCAATTATCAGACATCAATTATAAATGAGCTTTTCAACTAGGATCAACTAATTGATTAACTATAAATTAAGTTTATAGAAACGACAATGAAAGTGGAAGAGAAAAAAAAAAGCAAAAATCCGACTTACCGGATTCAAATTAATAAACTAATAACTTACAGTTCTCCGCTTTACCAACTAAGCTAAGGTCAATTGTTATATATATATATATATATATATATATATATATATATATATATATATATATATATATATATATATATATATATATATATATATATATATAATGTTATGTATTCACTTTAGAACTTGTTAATTCGGTTTTAAATTGTTTTTGTCTTTAAACAAAATTAACTAATACACTCTCTGTAATAATTTACAAATAAAAAATTCAATTTGTTATGTTTTTTTTTAAATATTTTTTATAGATAGATGTAAAATAGTTTTAATTGATTATTTATGAGAAAATAGAGAAAAAGCAAATTACATATAATTTGTATTTAATTTTCAAAAATATGTATTTTTAAAATAAATAAAAATTGATTATTTTTTTGTAATTTGTAACAAGAAAATGAGTTTTTATTTAGAGTTTAATAGTTATATACATATGTTATCATTCAATACAAATTTATCTTTCTGTTATATTATATTATTAATTTAAAATTTATAGTTTAACGTGATAAGATATATGATAGTAAGTAATCGATAATATAAAATTATTTTATATTATTTTATATAAAATTATTTTATATAAAATAATATAAAATTATTTTATATAAAATTATTTTATATAAAATTATTTTATATTATCAGTGAACATCTCATTTTCTCTTTTATTTAATTTTTTTTAAGTTACAACTTACAATTATTTAATAAACTTTGTTTAGAGCTTTATCTTTTTATCTTTTTAGTTACAATAAACTTTGTTTAGAGTCTTTTCTTTTTATAATTAATTAGTGAGACTAAATTTTAAAGTGCAATAGTAATTTTTCAACTAATTTATTAATAATATTTTTTTAAATGTGTGATAAATATTTTTGTATAATCATTAACAAATCATCTCTTAAATAATTGCCTTAAAAATGAGTAGTCTCATAAATTACATGTTTCTTATTCTAAATGAGAGTTTCTTAATACATTCTTATATCTTCTATAAGACTCTTTGGAAAATAACAAAAATGCCTCTTATTTTTAGAGATATATTTTTTATTGTATCACTTTTATAAAAAAATTAATTTTAGAGATACATATCTAAAAAAACTTTATTTTTTACAATAAAAAAAGATATATTCGAATATGCATCTAAGAATAAACTTTATTGTTATGTTTTTTTAGGATAAACTTCATTTTTATGTGTATTTTAAATTAGGGGTGTGAAACAACCGGTTGAAAATCATCAAATAATAAAGTCGTCATCGAATGTCTTTTATCTTGTATGAAGGGAAAAGTGAACATCGAGAAAATCTGAGAAGAGAGAAGTCACGATCTTGCGACCGAGAGATCGGATAAGGGAATTTGTTACACGATGAGAAGGTATTAGCACCCCACACGCCCGTAGTACTCAATGGTATCCACTCTTGTTATCTATCTTAGGGTGTGTTTAATCTATATCTACTGCTTATTACTAAGGAAGGATGCATGCAAAAGAAAAGGGAAAATAATGTAGAAAAAATAAAGATGTGCTCGCTTGGGCCCTACCCCAATATCTACGTATTATTTTTGAGAAATCAGAGTTACCGTAGTTCGGCTCACATGTTTTGTTTGTTTTGTGTTTTTTATGAACAATATTAATTTCGCCTTCTACCGCAGCTCGACCTTTAGAGACTCACGCGTTGGCACAGAAGTAAATTAACATGTCCCTACCTGAAAATGGTTTTGAGTTACGCCCTTAAGGCAAGATGCCACATTTGATTGGTTTGTGTTTTGTTACCTTGAAAAGGGGTTTAAGTATGATTAGCATGTTTTGTGATTTTCTAAGAAAAATAAAGTTTTAGTTTTAATGCATATGCAAAAGGGGAAGAAAAGAGTCTACGGGAGACTATCCTATTTCTAATCCTAATGTTATCATACAATGATGGCCCTACGTCAAGGATGAAAGGGAATTTTCTACCTAATGTTAGCATGCATGATTCGCAACCTAAGGTCAAACTTGCATCTGAAAGGAACAAGCACGTCCTAAGGGTACATGGTATGGAAAGTCAATGAGCAAACAAGCTCGAAAGAGCACACACATAAAAGGGTAAAGTAAAGAAGCGAAATGCTTTATTCAAGGGGAAAGGATCACCCGAGACAAACAAGCGGGAGGGAAATATAAAAGAAGAGAAATGATTTAGCTAAGGGGAGAGGATCATCCGAAGCAAGCAAGCAAGAATGAGATGAGAAACAAAAATATGATGTCCAAAGGGACTGAATACCTAACCAAGATATATAAGATCGAGGTAGGCGACATAAGGCAATATGAACATCACAGAGTGTCAGCATCGGCCAATGCGAACTCCTGACAAAGTGTGGGGGTTCGATTGCAAAACCCTTTTCCACTTGACGACTCGATAACGAGAGTAGCCACAACTCTGAAGCATCATAGTGCGTCACGAGCTAAGGATGACACAGACGAAATTGCAGGGGTTAATTGCTAACCCTTTGTGCTCGCCTCCTTTTGAGGACTTCAATAAGGTATGAGGAATAGATACGAGCACAAATGTAAACACACGTAGGGAATACCTACTTCAAAGGCAGGGTTTTAAACAAACACAAATAGCATACATAATGAACATAATGCAGAATTGCCCTAAACATGTCTTTAATTAAACCAGAGGGGTTCATGACATGATGAGCAACGGAGATCCCCGTCATACATCTATATCCTACTTCTCATGGCATCAGAAAGCTGTAAAGAAATATGATGAAGTATGGGAAAATGTAAAAGCAGTAGCGACGACTACCAAAAGCAAGCAGATCTTCAAAAGCGGACGAAAGCAATGGAGGAGCAAGGAGTACGCGTCGAGCAAGCTTCACCAAGAAACAAACAAAGTCAGAAACGAAATCCAACTAAGATAAAAGCACACGCATGTTACGAATGCAACGTGTAATCAAAAGTTCCTGCACAAAGCATCACAAAATATCACATGCATCTGAATAACATATAATATGATATGATTTCTCAGGACAATGAGAAATAAGGTGTGTCGCATCAGAAGCGAGCATAAGCCATATGCTTCTATCACATAACGTATTGCTATGTTACATGATCGAAAGCACCAAAATATACCTTGCACAATGAACAAACGCGTCAAAAATAACGAGGCACAACGGTATGAAAATATGAATAAAAACCTAAAAGAAAAAGTATTTTTTATTAGTTTTTTTATGTGGGGAAAATTCTAACAAAAACTAAAGAACTAATTCCTAAAATCAACTAAGGAGATCTAACAAATTTTATTTATTTTATCATTTTTATTATGTGAAGAATATTCAAACGAATTCAAATGACTAACAAAATCAATAAAAAAGGAATTACAAATAAAAAATAGGTCCAGGGGGTGCAAGCTGCAAGCAATGTATGCGTCCAGCAATATTTAAGTTCAAGCCCAAACAAAAAATGATCCAGAAGCTGCTTTTGTTACACAAGGCCCAGTATTTCAAAAAAAAATCGTGTGGCACGCCTCTGAGAGGGATGTGTGTGTGCAGTAAGCCCAGTGAATCTTTCATCAGCCCATTAACAATTACTATTCAAATTTTATTGAATTAAAAAAAATTAGAATAAAAAAGAAATTATAAAACGCGTAGTTTTGGACCGAGTTTTGTGGCGCTTCAACTTCCAAAACCTTCACATCGTTCTATCTGGCGATTTCCGATGAGCAAAGCCACCGTCACCACCGCCTAGTCTCCTCTAACCACTATGATACGAACACATGCTTTTCCTGAATCTTCCTTCTAAACGTGAATCTAAAGTTGGATTAAACATATGGTGAACTAAATTACTGTATCGAATCACTCAATCTAAGAACCCTAGAATTACTGCCAATTCAAATTAAATGGAGTTAATGCGAGATATGGCTACGAAACATGGGGACTATTGCTCAGTGTGTTACAGGCTTCCTCGCAGTATAAAGAATAGAGCAAGAAGGTGAAGAAGAACAACTTGCCTACCGGAGAACTTCGGTGGTTCTTCACGGTGATGAAACAAACAGAAAAGTTTGAGATTGATGGTGAATTCTTGCAGAATGATCATGAATGGAGGAAGTGAGAGTGAAGGGTTGAAGATGAAGATGGAGAGAGAAAGAAGAATGAAGGTGAGTGATGAAAAATCTGGTAAAAAAAGAATCCTCCTCCCTAGATTGAAGGGGAAAGCAACTTTATATGGTTGGTTAAAGTGTGAAGAGTTAGTTACAGATACAGAAATCAGAGCCATTAGATCAGGAGTTAGTTGGAAGCAATGGAGGGTGAGGATCGAATCACTTGAAGGTTAGTTATGTGAGTTTGAAAGCTAGTTATAGCTGGTGAAATTCTGTTATTAATTCGGTTAGGAAATAGTTAAATGAGCTGAGGGATTGAGTGAGAAATCAGTTAGGTGGTTAGCTTGCTTTGATTTTCTGTTACATGTATAGGTTAAAGGACATGAAATTAGTTTAAAACTGTTAGAAAGAAATTAGTGAATGCTAAAAAACTGTTAGAAACAAGATTTGTTAGTTAGCTCCTGATTTCTTTTATGTTGAATGCAAGCTTGTCGAAAGGCCTGGTTGAGCTTGAATGATTTGCTGGTTTTTATGCTATGTGAAAGGTTCGGTTTCTGGTTTTCAACAACAAACAGTAGGAAGCTTAGGGTTTAGTTAGTCTTGGTCTGTTATGAGATAGGATGCGACTGTTTGAATGTGTACCACCTTTGGCTTGAATATGCAGGTTTGTATGTATTGGAAATTGTATGTGTCAATTAAAATGATGTGAATTTATATTATTTTTGAACTGTTAGCTTTACTTGCAGGGCTGTTTATTTGGATATAGGTTATACTAGGACTGAAACTGTTGGTGATTGTTTTGATATGTGAATGGTTTAGTGAACTGATGTCAACTGGTTTTGATGTAAAGGGTTAATCAATATGTGCAGGGCTTTTTGGATTAATGTGTTTGGATTGCTTCTGATTTTTTCTTCTATTAAAAGAATGGTATGGTTTGATATGTATGTAGATTCTTGGTCTTTTGAATTGCTTGGAATGTGTATGGACTGATTTGGCAATGTTTTGGTGCATATTTTAGCAGTGTTTTTGGACAGATCTTGGTAAGGAAGATGGAAGCAATGTTTGAAAAAGGAACATGGTGGCAATCTTTAAGGCAAGGAGTTCTAAAATATGGACATGAAGAAAACTTGAAAATTTATAACGGAAGGCTTATGCATTAATATTCCTAGGACTTTAGATTTATGGAAGATTAGGCTTTTCATCATGTAACTTTCTTTGTGATTCTTGGTGTAAATGTCTTCAAGTGGATCACTTGTAATGGTTAGAATTTTGTGATGTATTTGATGATTCTGGAACCTTGTAATACTTTGAAGATCAAATGACAAACCTTAAGTAATCAAAGTAATATTTTCTTTTCAAATTAGATTTTGAAGTTTCCATGGTTTCACAGTGTACAAGAATTTTCCATATGTCACATGAATGAATTGAATGAAATGCCTTACACCTTAACCTTTCGACCCATGAAACTTTAGGCTTTAACTTGAGATAATTGAATGAAGTCCATAAAAGATATAGCTTGTACCACAAGTAGGCCAATTACCCAAATGAAATGCCTTGCACTAAGTATCCATAAACTCTAATTGGTGAGGTAGATCCGCTTGTCTCTTCTCTCGTATAAATCCATGAATAAGATATCTTTAATAACTTGCACATAAGATGATGAATAAGACCAAAGTGTTGAGAATGGAATTTTAGATGATGCACAACCTTTGAACATTCATTTAATAATCATGAGTATAAGAGATAAACCCTAAGCCATGAACTTTGTATCCTCAATTGAAATAAGCCTGCAGAAAGATGAAACTCTAGTGTATAGGTGGAGCCTAATCTTCTGGCCATTGATCCAATGTCAACCCTTGCTGTTAGTGGATGCATGAATTGTTAGATAACTTAAATGAGAGGTAATGCATATGAAAAATGTGAGATGTATAAGCCAGATGACAAAAATGAAAGGGTGAGATATATTTGGGGTATGACATGGTGTTTACGGTATGATTTATGCCGTTTTGACGTAAAAAGTCATCTGAACCGCAAGAGAAAAAATTGTTTGATTCGTTTTGATTCGGTTAGCTTTTAGAAATAAAATCAAACCAAATCAAATCAAATCAAATCAAATACAAAAAAAAATATTGAGTCATACATACACATATAGATGACAACATAACTTTGTATTTAACATTTATGTATTATCAAATAACAACAAAATTTATCCTATTTGAATAACAACTTTTCATTTAATATAAAAAAATAAATTTTGAGAAAAAAGAAATAAAAATATAAAATAGTATCATAAAACAGTATAAAAAATATTATAATTGTTCTGGATTGGGCATGTGGCTACCGTCAGGCACAACCTAGTCCAGCGCTACTTCAAGAAAGGCCCAACGAAATGACTCAGACTGTCGTGAATATTAGAGAGCGTCTTTTCTACGTGCCCCTCCTAAGACATGTAGCCAACTGCTCTCTGTATCCCACAGAGCCGTTCTGCCATCCATGAAGAAGGAGGCTTTCACCATTCGAAGATCACGGGACAATTGACCTAGAACGGAGATCAATTGCTGGTCTTCCCTATCCACGTAGAATCCTGGCAGTCATCTATCGTGGACCAGATAATCCAACTCACAATGGAGACCTTGATCCAGCGCTGAAGACATTCCTTAAAAACTCAAGTATTACATGCCACTGAAGATTCTTCTTATCCCAGTAAGATCATTAGTGAAATAGAAAAAATGGAGGAGATGAAAAATTAGAAGAAAAAGAAAGAGCATAAGAGAGAAGAGATCATTAGTTTTACGGTTTTATATTAGACCGATTCGATTTTGAACACCCTATTTAAAATATTAATTGAATTATTATTTTGAAGATTTTTTGTGATAACTCAATATTTTCATAGGATCAATAATATATTTAATTAACTTAATATATAATTAACTCATTATAAAATATAAATATTAATCCTATTAAATTTTAATATTGAATTATTGTAAACAAATCTCAAACTTCAATTAGTAAAATAATAATTATTTTACATTAATAATTGTAATTAATATAATAACTCCATTAATATTTTAAATACACATAAGATTTATTCAAAAATGAACACTTGAAAATATCTTTTTTTTAAGTTCTTTTTTCAGATATGTATTTTCTAAAATTAAATTTTTTTAAAATAATATGTTCGAAGATATATCTCTAATCTAAAGGTACAAACTAAATCAACCCCTTCTTAAATTTATTGTAAAATCTCAACTTCAAAGTCCAACTAATTTAATTTTCAAAATCATCCATTTTAACCACCCACAATATAAAAATTAAAATGAAGGGTCTCTTGAAGATACATGTCATTGGTTTTTCTTCTCGAGTCTCTTAGGGTGGTGTATATAGTAAAATTTGGAGTTGGGATTATAATTTTCTTTATAACTTTAATAAATTATAGATGAGTTACTAGATTGTTGAAATCCCATATGGCCATGAACTTGTTGAAAGAAGTTTATATAAATAACATCAAGTTTAACTATTCTTGAACCAAATTTATATGATAAATTGGCCTCTCCATAAACAAAACTATATAAACTTCATACAACAAAAGGAGCTGTTTATTTTTACAGTTAAATATCAGAAACTATTCCAATAATGGTTTTAGCTTTGTAACTGAACTATCAGTTAAAAAATCAAGCAACCATAGTTCAAAATTTCGTGAGATGATAACTGTCAGAAAATGTTATTCCATCTAGCTCCTCCCACTTTTTTTTTTTTTTTCTTCTGCTTCTTCAAAATCCTTTTTTTTCTTTTCAAAATGTCAATTCAATAGAAAAATGTCCTTCACATAATATCAAAACTAGAAGCAGAGAACTACATTTAATTTTATCAATTCAGATAACTCCTTTGTCTTAGTTTATATACAATTCGACAAGCTTCTCTGCAAGAACACCGCTTCTTCTTTTGACAAAATTCTGCAACAAAATCAAATATTCATAAATGATTTTGGTACATATTGTTGTTTTTACCACTTGTGACACACCATGTTGGTACATACATACAATCACTTTGATTTGCTAAAATTATAACTCCTACTACTTGCAACACACCATATTGGTACATACAATCACTTTGATTTGCCTAAAATGTAACTTGTGTCTACGTATCAGGATGTGTATCGTAGTGTGTACATATTGCTCCTTCTACCACTTGTACCACACCATGTTGGTACATACAATCAATTTCATACATCTAAATTGTAACTGGTGTTCACGTGTCTATTTATGTGATTCACAAATACAACCTAGAATAGTATCAACTGCAAAGTCTTTGATCTACACCCAATGCAGATATATCTTGATGGCTAAAAGAAGAAATCAGAAGAGTCGTATACACAATACTAGCGGCAATTCATTGAAATTATAACAATATGAACAATAAATAAATTCATGTCCATACCATTGTTGATTTTTCCTGAACTCAGTAAGCACGGGATATATGTTCTCAAAGGCTGCATAAGTCTCATCTCTCACCTAATAAAATGAAAAATATATAAATTTGAATGAACCAGTATTTTATTGAGGATGAAAATTATAAAATGGGATTGTATATAAAAATGCTACCTTGGCTCCTGTTAGAACAATTTTTCCAGAGACGAAAATAAGTAAGACTATCTTCGGTTGCTTCATACGGTAGATTAGTCCGGGAAACAGCTCTGGTTCATACTACCACCACATATAGCAAGTTTAGCATATATTTTTCTAACTTATAGACATTCATACATATTAAGACTTGAGGTTCATACTACCACCACATATAGCAAGTTTAGCATATATTTTCTAACTTATAGACATTCATATATATTAAGACTCGACATCGTAGACATTTAACACAAGCACCGGGATTGCAGCACCACAAGCTATGCTTAAGTAACTTTAAAACGCCAATTAATGAGGAACGGAGTGGGTAATAAATTAGCTTACACTAGAGAAAGCACCATGGGAATATGCAAGCCCCTCCAACCGTATCGGGAACTTAACATCACAGGAGCCAACAATGTTCTGAATCTTGAAATCCTGAAGCATAAATAAAGCCAAAGGAATCAACTACTTGATCAAGTACTGTTTAGGTGCTATGAGACAAAGCACAAATAAACCATGGTTGATGAAAAAACTTCAGTTGAGATAATCTGAAAGAGTATATGTTTTACCTTAAATTTGGCCGGGAAACCAAGTTTTTGGATGATACGGGCATACTGAAAGCACAAGTAGAAAAGGTAAATTAGAAAATATCAGAAATTTCTGAAAATTAAACATGCTCAAGTCCAATCCAACATGAAGGGCTTAGTTCTCCAGCCGAGTGCCATCAATGGCAGATGGCGGCCACAATGACACCGCTATACTCCATAAATTGGTCATGGCGTTTGGAAAAAAGGTTTGCTATAACATTGCTCCAGCGTAATTAACCTCCAGGTTTTCCGAGGCATCAATAATATAAATAGCATGAATAGGATTAACAAATAGAAGAACAAGGAACACACCTTCCTTGCTGCCAATTTAGACTGTTGCTCACTCTTGGCTCCAGTACAAACCTACTCATACAAGTTAAATTAGAACAATGTTAAGAGAAACCCTTCACTAGTGCCATGCCAATTTGTTTTTGTTTTAACAAAAGGAACATTAGGGACTAGACAAAAACACAGAGCTTCACAATCTTTTTTGTTTGACTACAATGTTAAAAACACAAACAAAAATCATTTCTATGACAAAGGCGAAAAGTGAAACAAACCAGCATACCATCTTGCCAGAAGCAAAGATAAGTGCAGTTGTTTTTGGTTCTCTGATTCTCATAATGACGGCAGCAAAACGCTGCAAAGAATTACATCACAATCATCAGTGTCGATAAAAGAAGTATATTTACAGTAACGGCAGATTATTTAATTTGCATAACAAAAGATTAACAACAAGTAATTAATATCAAAAGCGACATTAATATAAAATACTAGTAACCATCAAGTTAACTTTTAGTTCCAATGGAAAGGAAAATAGAAAGGACGCACATCGCACACACATTAGCATACATAACAAAGATGTGTTAAAATAAAGACTTGCCTTGGGATTGTACTCTGCATTACGAGCTTGGAGTGCAATTGCTTTGAGGTCCAACTTACAGTCCAAATTGACTGTTGAAACAATATTTCTGGAAGTACAAACACCTTAGTAATTAGTTTATTCTAAAGTAGTAAATAGGAATAAAAAAGTTATTAGATATGCCAATCTAAAGTGAAGCAAATTTATTACATACTCCACTATTCAAAGTAAATAATAACTAGCAAAATTATTAGATATTTCATATTGTATGTAAAATGAAGTAAACGACAAAATGGCCTTTCTCGACTTCATGGCAATTAACAATATGAAGTAAGCTGCGGAATATTTTTGAGTCGAGAATAATGTCTAAAGAAAGACAAACAACTTAAAACCTTCATTCTTATTAATAATTTGGCTTGTAATTTTTATTAGTTTTATCCTAGCTTTGATTATTAGGATAACCTCCATCTGATTCACTTTTCTTAGAAACGCCTCTAAAAATCTTCTCCATACAAACTACACACTTAAGATGATAATCTACCATCTTTTACACATTAAGTTGTGACCAGAATTTCTCTCTAAAGCATTCTTTCATAATCTTGACGAGTACATTACAATGTTTGTTGTATTTTCTAGTCAACTCTTTACCACCTAATGTTTAGTTTGATATAATGCCACAAATCTTATGATTATGAGATAAAATTAATTATCTTGCTTAGGTAATATTTTCTATCCCCTTTCATTTATTCCATATAAACCGAGTGGTTTGTCGAGTATTTATTGGCCACTTATTGTAATTAGTTGACTTCTTAAAATTCTCTGTGAAAACTCAGACACAAACATTGATACCACAGCCTCCTCTCCAACAGCTACAATGCTATATGCACTAACTACCATAGTTGCAATTCAAAAGAAAGAGACATAGACAGATAAAAAAAAAAATAGCCTCAATCCAGGTAAACCAGTCACTTATTAAGGGGTCAATGTACCGAAACAGAGCTATGGGAGGATGGAGTGACTATGGAATTAAAGGCTTGACAATAGAGCTATGTAATTGTTTAGTGAAAAGTATATAAGAGACGCGATGGGTGCTTCAAACCCTCTCCAATGTCTTGCTAATAGCTTCCAACCACTTCCTTCAAAAACATGCATTCCTTAATTTTGCCCAACATCCAACTCATACTCCCCTTCAAACTTCTTAAAACTTATACTACTTATTACCCCAAACGATAATTAGGTATGCTTTAAATTCTTTCGCTACCCTTTGTTGTTTTTATTATCTGTATGACCCTCCCAACCCTCAGTTCTAGCTCAACTATCATCCATTACTTAGACAAAAATTCCCAATACCATTATCATAAACATCCATTGAGGGATTCACTTCAACAGTTCAATTGGATACTAACAAGTATCCAATAAAACCAACAAAAAATATGATTTAACCATACCCATCAAGCAATCACTTGTAACTTTTCATCAACTAAACACTTGATTAAAAACACACAAACATATTTAGATACTCACTGAAGGGTTGGCACAATCCCAGAAGGATGTTTCTGTAGATCTACCGGCTGGCTCCCTTCCAATCCTTGATCAGCCATCAACCCTAATATATACATATTTATAATAACATATTAAACCCTTAATCAATCAATCTAAAACCAAACACCATGTTCCAAATTAGGGTAAAAACAGTCAATTAAATTAGGGTTTTCAAGAATCCGATTCAAAATTTGTGAATTTTTTTATGTATAAACGACTTAGATCAAGGGTAGGTCAAAATCAGACCTTTTTTCTAGAGAGAAATTCGGGTTTATATAGGATAAGAGAAATTGAGCGCGAATGATTTGAAAAAAGGTTCTTTTATATAGAGAGTGACGAAGAAATTGAGATTTGTATTGTGAGGTTTTTATAAGAGAGAGTGATTTGGGTTTGTGCAGATTTGCGATGAATTTAGAGAGAGAAACAAGAGAGAGAAAGAGAGGGTATTTGTATTGTGATTGTGGAAAGATCTGGAAGTTATATGAGGCGAGAGATTGATGGCTGCCGCACTATTTATATGAGAGATGAGAGTTAGGGTAATGACATTCTTACACGAGAGATTTGATTAGGGTCCAATGGGTGTTTGACGCGTGTTGTGTCGGTTTAGTGAAATTTGGTGACAATATATGGTAATATTGTTTTTTAATATTGAGATCAATTTTGTCAACGATAAAACTTAAATTTAATTAAAAAATTTTACCAAAAGAAGATTTATTAAAATATTTTGATTTAAAATTTCCTTTTATGAGTATATTTAAAGAATCAATTACTTTTATAAATTAGTCAAGAAAATAGTTTTATGTATATCAATTATTAGTTGATTTAATAGTGATTGACGTTAAATTTGGTAGTGAGGATAATGGTTCGATCTCCTGCAACTATAGTATTACTATGATCGAAAGGGGGTTGAAATCAATGATCAACATGTAACCATTAAGACACCCAAACAGAAGATGATCAATACTCTCATTCTCTTGGCAGTAGCAACAATTCTTCTCAATATTCATACCAAACTTACTAGTTGCCAATCTCTTATGGCAAGCAAGCCAGAGGCAGAAGAGGGCTCTAGGTCTAGCAATGTTGTCTGCCAATAAACCAGACCAGTTGACATTATCATCCTGATTCATCAAGTCCCTATAGAAAGCTCTCATCCTGAATTTATTCCCAACAAGACTTTGATTCCAACAATTATGCACCATATGGATCATTTTCCTAGTTTTCACGATCCCTTTAATAATCCGTGAAGAGTTCAGGTTGACATCCATGTTCATCAAATCACGCTCTTTTATAAAGTAAATATGCATCCACTTTACCCACAGACAGTCAGATTTTTTACACAAGTCCCAAAGGAGTTTCATCATGGTAATGTTGTTCCAACTATCTAAGTTCAGGATACTCAAGCCCCCTTTAACAGCCAGTTTACAGATATTTCTCCATGCAATAAGAATTTTCTTGCTTGGAGAGTTGCCTCTAGTCCAGATGAACGCTCTACATGTAAAATCAAGCTTCTCAAATAAGCTTTTATTTTGATGATGACAAACCATGGCTAACAAAGAAGGCAAAGATTTTGATTAAGCATCTAAGCATCTAAGGATAATATCTTCATTCAAAGCTCTAAATAACTTTAAAGGTATAATAATACTATCTACTTTGATCTTAAGATATAGATGCTCAAAAATGAAAAAGAAATGTTTAAGAATCATAACTTAAGCTTTTCAAAGATAAAATTTCACTTTTCTTCTGCACGCAATCGATTTACATCTTAGTGCAATCGATTGCGCACGTTAAAATTTCAAATCTTTTGCTTCTGTTTCTTTGCGCAATCGATTTACATTCCTATGCAATCGATTGCATACTTAAAATTTTTCAAAACTTTTGCTATTGACTTTGCATGCAATCAATTACATTGTTAGTGCAATCGATTGCACTCAGTTAAATTTTTGCTACTGACTTTGCTTGCAATTGATTACATTGTTAATGCAATCGATTGCACTCTTAAAGATTTTGAAAAAATAGCTATTAAAAACCTTGTGCAATCGATTTACACCAAGGGTGCAATCGATTTCACACTGCACGAATTTGAAAAATAACAGCTTTGTTCATACCTTTTGATCATGCCTTTTCATTACATCTTTTCACTCAAACTTGGCATTTGTTCATGATACATTTCCAGATCTTCATGTTGTTTCAAAATGGTGTTATGAACATATAAATATTCAATTTCAAATCCAGATCTAACACCTTCTTTCATAAATTTTTCTGAACTTTCAAAATACAAACTCAAGCATTCTTCACTTTCATGCATAAGTTTTCTACACATTTTCATACTTTAAACAGAAAACTTTGAGCAAATATATCTTGAGTCTTTGTACAATATTATTATTGAAAGAAGAAGATTATACATTGTCAAATCACTCTTAGTGATCAATATTACTCTACTCACTCAAACTCACAAATTGATATTTACATACTTATTTTCCAGAATTGTTGGAATTAAGTTTAAGTGTTTTTATTGAAATCTTGTCTTTCCAAGTTGTTGGATACAAGTGTAGTTACATTGAGAGGATTGTTCTCATAGGTAACTTAGTGAAAATCCAAGAGGATTGTTCTTGGTCCAAGAGGATTGTTCTTGGTTTGGTTGGTAGTTCTTGTTTAAGTTTTCCACAATAAGGAAATCTCTTTCATGTTGAAAGGGGACTGGAGTACTCTCGGACTGTGAGGGAAACCAGGATATATCGCCTGTGTCTCTTTATTTTTCTGCATTTTTAAGCTTTCTTAAACTCACTTATAACCAGAAAAATAAGAATCATCATCACTAAAAACCAGAATTTTTTAAAAGTACCTAATCCCCCCCCCCCCCCTCTTAGGCCCACTTCGTACTTACAATTGGTATCAGAGCAGGTTATAGGTAACCTGCTCCTAAAAGATCCAGAATGGCTTTCGTAAATCATAATCCCGTTTTCAGAGATGGTGGTAGTAACAACAAGCTCCTCTATTTTATGGTGAATATTTTGACTTCTGGAAAATTCGCATGAAGGCGCATCTAGAAGCACAAGGAGAAGAAATATGGGATGCCGTCGAAAATGGTCCATTTATCCCGATAACGGTAATCAATGGTGTTGGCTCATCAAAGCCTAAAAACGCATGGGACGATGATGATAAGAAGAAAGTTCTCTATGAAAAAAAGGCAATAAACCTTCTTCAAGGTGCACTTAGCATGGACGAATTCTTCCGTGTCTCGGCATGCAAAACAGCAAAGGAAATATGGGATACCTTGGTACAAACTCATGAAGGAACGGTTGAAGTAAAAAGATCAAGACTAAATACCCTAAGTCAAGAATACGAACTATTTCGAATGCAGCCCGGAGAAACCATTCTTGACTTACAAAAGAGATTTGTGCACTTGACAAATCATCTAAGTGCTCTTGGTAAAACTTTGACGAATAATGAATTGAATCTGAAAGTACTTAGGTCCTTAACTAGGGAATGGCAACCAAAGGTAACGACAATTTCAGAAAAGAAAATTCTCTCCAACATGACATCCGTAACATTATTTGGAAAACTTCAAGAATACGAAACGGAACTCGGAAGACTCGAAAAGCATGAAAATCAAGAAAAGAAATCCAAGAATATTGCTTTGAAGATAGACTTCAAGGAAGTTGAAAAGGAAAACAATCCAGAAGAAGATGAAAACTTCATGCTTCTTGTTAAAAGGCTTGGTAAGTTCTTCGGTAGAAATGACAAACCTTTTTCTCATTCAAAAGGAAAGAAACATTTTCAGAAAAAGGAAGGCTCCACATCAACACAAGAAATCACATGTTATGAATGTGGTAAGCAAGGTCATATCAAGCCGGATTATCCAAAACTCTCCAAGAAAGGTGGCTTCAAAAGCAAGAAGGGATTCAAGAACAAAAAGGCTTATGTCGCATGGGAGTACAATGAAATAAGTTCCTCATTCGATTCCGATAGTGATGAAAGTGAAAATCTAGCATTGATGGTCTCACACCATTCTGATGATGAAGACAATAAGGTTAGTAATGAATTTTCTCTTTTTGATAGTGATGCACAAGGTGCTATAGATGAACTATTGAATGAATGCAAAATTCTGTATAAAACCATTTCATCACAAAAGAAACAAATTTCATCCTTAGAAGAAAAATATGTTTCAATGGAAAAAGATTTCAAAGAAGAAAAACAAAAATCAAGTGATGAACAAAAACAGAATTTTGTATGCAAAAATTGTGATTCACTCTCTTTCCAAATTGTCCAATTAAAAAGAGTCATTGAAAGATATGAAAAAGGGCAAATTGGATTGGAAGGTGTTCTTAGCCAACAAAGATACTCCAATGATAAAAGTGGGCTTGGATATTCAAATTTTTCAAAACCAAGTTCTGACAAAACTATCTTTGTTAAGGCAAGTGATCAATCTTCCAAAGAGAAAGTGAACAAACCTAAAATAGTTCGTCACTATCCGAAAAAGAAAACATTTTCTAAGAAGAAATCTTATCCTTCTAGATATAGAAGTAACTTTGAACCTACTTGTTTTTATTGTGGTATTAAAGGCCATACACCTAATGCATGCTATATTAGAAACTTCAGTGTGGCAAGTGGGCATTATGTATGGGGTAAAGAAAGGCACTAATTATGAAGGACCCAAAGCAACTTGGGTACCTAACAAAACCTAATTTGTTTTGCAGGTATGCTTGAAGACCACATGCAATCTTTGGTATCTTGATAGTGGTTGTTCAAAGCATATGACAGGAGATATAAACCAATTTTCACATCTAGTGCTAAAGGCCAGGGGTTTTGTCACTTATGGAGACAATAATAAGGGAAGAATCCTAGGCAAGGGCAAAGTTGGTGCTCCACCTTTCACATCCATTAAAGATGTTCTTTATGTTGAAGGACTAAAGCACAATCTTCTAAGTATTAGCCAACTTTGTGACAAAGGCTTCAAAATCAAGTTCACCAAGGATGAATGTTTGATAGAAGACGAAGTCACTCATGAGGTTATACTTAAAGGTAAAAGAATCAATAATATATTCATGATTTCCCTTGATGATCTATCTTTGAAGGTTAAATGTCTCATGGCGAACAACGATGATTCATGGCTTTGGCACAAAAGAATTGCTCATATTCATATGGAACACTTGAATAAATTAATCAAGCATGATCTTGTCATTGGATTGCCTAAGAGAAATTTCATCAAAGATAGACTATGTGATGCTTGTCAAAAAGGGAAACAAACTAGATCAACTTTCAAATCTAAGAATGTGGTGTCCACTACAAGGCCACTACAATTGTTACATATGGATCTATTTGGTCAATCGAGAACAAGGAGTTTCGGAGGTAATATATATGCTTTGGTTATTGTTGACGATTTCTCTAGATATACTTGGACATTCTTTTTAGTGCAGAAAAGTGATGCATTTAAGGTGTTTAAGAAGTATGCTAAACAAATTCAGAATGAGAAGTCTCTAACAATTGCCTCAATAAGAAGTGACCATGGCGGAGAATTCCAAAATGCTCTATTTGAAGAATTCTGTGGAAAACATGGAATATCTCACAACTTATCGGCACCAAGGACTCCACAACAAAATGGAGTGGTTGAAATAAAGAATAGGTCTCTTGTGGAACTTGCTAGAACAATGCTTAGCGACTCAAACCTTCCAAAATAATTTTGGGCGGATGCGGTGAGCACGGCATGTTTTGTTAGCAATAGAGTTAACATTAGACCAATCTTAAAGAAAACTCCATATGAACTTTTCAAAGGGAGAAAACCAAACATTGCTTTCTTTCATATCTTCGGGTGCAAATGCTTTGTCCTAAACAATGACAAAGATAATTTGGGTAAGTTTGATGAGAAATCCGATAAAGGTATATTTCTTGGTTACTCACTCTCTAGTAAAGCATATAGAATATACAACAAAAGAACTTTGACTATTGAAGAATCTATGCATGTTTCTTTTGATGAATCTAACCCCTCTAAGGAGGATAATATTGTTTGTGATAATGATGATGAAATTGAAGAAGGTCCTCAAGAAAATTCTTCCAAGGATCAACCCATTCAACTAGAAGAATCACCTCAACAAGAATCGAATCTCAATGATCTACCAAAAGAATGGAGAACTCATAGAGATCATCCTATTGATAAAGTAATTGGTGATATAAGTCAAGGCGTGTCTACAAGATTAAATCTCAAGGATGCTTGCCTAAACATGGAGTTTGTCTCTCAAATTGAACCTTCCAAAGTTGATGAAGCTTT